TTAAACCTTCTTTTTAATCTCGTTTATTCGCTGTTTTATCCCCGCTCGGCGACAATGACCTTAAGTCGTGGCCCTGACTCCAGCCCTTCCCTACATTGTCTTTTTTTCAATTTCAGCACATGAAGTATTTATCCGGTTCCGTTTTCCAAGCTTACGGCGAATTAATGAAACCTGTGTTTTCCAAGCTAAATAGCCGCGTGAAAACTACCTGAAACATTTTGCTGGAACTTGGAGGGAAAGGAGGGGAGGAGGGGTGACAAAAATGAGACTTTTCATCACATCCAACCGATAAAATGGAGGCACCTTTTGGAGTTTCGTTTTGACCTTATTATTGCTAACTATAAAACGTTTTCTTAGACGGTGGCGGCTGGGAAATTCGATGCTGGAGAATGCGAAACCACTTCTTTTCAATGTCAGGGAATGGGAGAAGAATTGGCCAAAATGCGTGTTGTACTTGTCGTAAAATTATCTGAGTGGATTAATCAGAATTAACTTCGCCTTACCTGTAGGTAGAGCCAATTTATGAAAGAGGGATTAATAAGTAAAATTTCTCAGTTAATTTAATCAGCTTTTTGTTTTGGAAGGAAAAGCATTGTATTAGCAGTTGCTCATAGGTTATGTCAAAGGCATTTGTCCACGTGATACGCGTAGCACTACCTTCACAAAGGAATGGAATAGACGAAAAATAACAGCTGCATGTATGGAGCAAATTTAAAAAAGGCTCCTTCATTTGTTGCCACATTTGTATGCATGGAGGGAGTGAAAGGGATGCAAATTTCAAACGCAATTGCTCACATGACATAATGGCGAAAAATTCTGCAAGCAAACCACAAACCTCACTCATCCCTGTCTGGCTTACTGTGCTACACTGAAAAACCTCTTCTATTTTCCTCTAAGCTGCAAAGCATGCTTTTGGTTCACTCACCAAATGTGCGAGATTCCAGGAGAGAGCCACCAACGGACCTATCGAGGCAACACGCAGAGGCTGGTGTTGAGCGCCACTTTTGGCACGCCTCCAGCTCATAAAAATGTCCCATTATTTATACTTCCGGAGTCCAGCGACAATTATGGGACAGAGACAGGAGGAGAGGATGGGAGCTCGGTAGATGCGTGGGGGAGTGGATGAGTGGGCGCGGAGTGAGCGTGGATTATCCCGACCATTAGATAAGGAAATTCGATCCTCCTCACGCATTGCCACATTCAGAAGCAGTTAAAGGTGAATAAAGAAAGGGTTGCAGTGGTAGTAGGGTCCTAAAAACTGTCCAAACGATTAATAAGTCGACAATTAGCCCTTTTTCACACTGATATCCCAGGGCTCCTCAAATTTACTCCGCTAAAAGGCCGTTGTTGCATGGATAATGCGGTCAGGTGCATCGTATGTGGAGCCACGATAGCCTCAGCTGGTGTTGTGGGTCACAAGGTCACGTCAAGCAAGTGACACCACGCCTGTTACCAAGCTATGTCAAGAGAGCTGGCATTTCCAGTGCCCAATTTCCAGTAAGATTATCGTGATGAGGGGTTGATCGAGGGCTCGATGTTGTAACAAGTTGCTGTGTAACTTGGTGGGTGCATCAGCACCGATTACAACCGACACAAAACCCTCGCATTCCCTGTAAATGGCCACTTAATTGTCAAGAAATGCTCGCATTCTGCTTTCAACGTAAAGCTTTTTGGGAATAAAAATTGGACTAGTTGCGCTTATATTACCAGTTTGATGACCAAGCTCAACTTTCAGTTGGCGTTGTTGCTATAAGTTTTGCAAAATTCTGTTATTAATGCATTATAACGAATAATAGCCTACCTTTTAAACAAGACTTCTTAAAAATCCAAGCCCCGTTTCTTGCACACTACCGAGAGGAGAATGTAATTACCTATTGAATTCAGCTGGAATTGTCTGGCGTAGCCCATTAAGTTCACTTTGGTCCACAAAGAGGGCCATCAAAAGTATCCACCAAGTTCAAAACCTCTGGAGAACCAGAAAAATGTCATTCTTTTGAATAATCATGCCTACAGGAAGCAAAAGCACCTCCTGAGTCGATTGCATGCTTTCCAATTTCTCATGTCACCCAGACCACTAGACTCGCAAACACAGCTCTTGCGATCAGTCTTGCCGCATTGTCCGCCTTTCGGCAACCTAAGGCGAATCAGCTCCAAGTGCATCACAAAGGAGCGCTTCGAGTCTGTGGAACATTCACAGAACTAGCCTTTAACTTGATCTAGTTACCTACTAGAAGCAGATATTAAAAAGTCATGGGAGCACAAAAACAATATGGCAAATAGGGTTATTAAAAAGCAGTCCATATGCCTGAACATTAATGGTGCGGCAAGTTCAAACAACCTCTATTTTAATAGAGGGTAAAAAAGGGATCTTGTCGGCATTTCATTGAAATTCAGACCTAATAATTTTACTACTCTCCCACCTATCAAAACCAATTTCAACTGATAAACGAAACGTACCACCACCTTATCTGTCAAGTGGAACAGACAACAAAAGGGTGTAAAAAAGTAATCTGTTTCAAGTAATGTAATAAAGGCACGTGAATCGCAGAAAACTGGGAGCCATAAAGAGGGGATAAAAGGACAGGCCAACCTTCAACATCAGCAGTTCTTCTGCGGAAACTCATAACCAGATATTTTGCATTTATACTCTTTTAATGGGTAGCGTTATAAAGTGCAAAATCTGGTCTGTGCTATCTCAACAGAATTAGGCTCGCATTGAGTCGATGTGCGGGTGAGATGCTCCTCCCACTCCTAGCCGTAGTATTGATGATGACGACGACACTAATAGTCACCGGATGAAAAACTTTTGAAGGCATATCGACACATGGCTTGGGGGGTAATCCGCCAAAAAACAGGCAGGTAACAGACCCTCGGGTTTACGACACGTGGCGCACGCACACACCGACCAATGGAACTTGAGTCCGCCTCCCATTGGTCAACGCGGCACATGGCCGGATAGGCCGACGAGGTCGCGCTCCGTGGTGTCTGCTGTTGTGCTGGCTGCGTGCGTGATGTGAAGACAATGGACAAAAACTGCACCAACGACACAATCACCATCGGTGAAAACCACTGCATTCACATTAATTTCAATGGTGACACCTCGGATGGGTTTCCGTTGCAAAGGAAGTCGAACAATGTCGAACATTTCCGTTGATCTAAGGCTGTTAAACAAATTACGGTAATTGGAAGTGTATTCTCATACATTCCGTGCACTGCAACAGAAGAGAGCAATTTATTTCATTTGAAGTCTATTCAAGTGTATTACAGTGAATTTTGCAGAAATTAATCATTTAAAAATGTCGACATTTTTGTTTTAATTTTAATCCCACTTGAAAGTATCCACATTCCACGGCTGTGCCAATAAACTGGATTCAACACAGTGTCTGTCCA